AAATTTTTTTCCATCCATAAACAATGAAAAAGTAGCAGCGGAGAAAAAAATGAAATTATGAATTCCCATATTGTTTCAAAAAAAAAAAAGAATTAACTTCCAGTCAGCAAATGTCTCACTCACTAAGAGCTCTCTGATAATAAAGAGGACCTATCATTCAGAAAAAAAGCGATTATCTTTGTTTCGTTTTAAAAAAAATCTAACTTTTTCCAATCTGATGAGCTTTTTCGAGAAAAAAGTAAAGATGAATAAATGAAACAAAAAGACAATTCAACAATATAAAGTAATAGATTTATCTTTCGTTCAAACAAATATCAAATACAATGAACACTTTATAGGTAACAGCAGCTAACAATTTTCCAGTAATATAATTTTCTTTTAACTTCTCCACAATTTTCCTTCCTACCTCTGTTTTCATTTTAAATTTTCTTTTTCAAACTATCAAATACAAAACAACGAATTACAGGAATGAAAACAAAAACAATTCAACGTTCACATTCAAACATAATGATTTATGAAACTGGCGAGATTCCACAAAGTAAAAAACTAGAAGAATAATGATAATAAAAAATGTCAAGTAACCAAGATGAAAAGTGACAGAAATCCAGAAAATTGCTAAAATTGCACATATTTCTAGTCTTTTTTAGTTGCCCTTCTTAACCAGTACAATTTCTGCAGTAAAAAATAAAAAATCAAAAAATGAAAAACAATTTAACAAGAAAAAAAGGGAAAATTATATCTGCTCTAAAATAGACAGGCGTCTGAGCAAGTGCAAGAGAAGAAAGAAAACATTTAGTAAGAGCGAATTCGTCGATTTTGAACTTGCCAAATTAACATTAGTGGTTGTTGCTATCTCTTTTCTGGACGATTGTTGCCGTATTCGTAGAAACGTCTTATTATTATTAATATTATTAATATTATTATTATTATTATTATTAGTTGAGCCACCGGTACCAGTGTCCTGCAGTAGAGCTTTGCTCTCATCATTACCCGACTGCTGCCGTTTTGAAGCCAACAACTTTGAACGACGTAACTTTTCCAGGTCAGAATTTTTTTTGCTACTGTTTGGAGAACACTGTTTTTGACGTTCCTTACATCGAATAGGCGAAAAAAAATGTTCCTTCACCTGAAAAAGTTTTTGTCACTCAAATGATATGCTGCTAATTTTACTTGACTTCATAGATACGCAGCACACTTGCAAGCGCCTAACCTCTCTAAGACTTGTTGGAACTAATAAAACATTTCCAAACAGGTCACATGGATGAAAGCAATCGCATTTCGGCGTTTCAGGAGCAGAAAAAAATCCCAAATCAAAAACATTTGGGTTTTTCACGTTTTCAGCTATTTGAAGATCTGAAAGCAATTATATTACAAACTGAGAAACTCAATAAATAAAAAAAAAGATATATATAAAAAATTCCTTTTGGAAATCGTTGTCACTTGTCACTATGTTAAAGAAGGCTAAAAACACTTTCAGTTATAAGTTACACGTGCAGAAAAACATCTGTTAAAAAAAAAAAATGCAAATAAATTTTTGCTCAGCTGGTACTCTGCTGTTACCAAAAGACTTCTCATTTTTCAAAAATTTCTGGTGGAATCGCCTTCACTCCTTCCTTTTACAGCAAGTCAAAGCAAAGAAAATTAATGTAACCTTGACACTGGAAACTTGGATGACCAGCGAACTCTGCAGACCTTGTAGGTGCCAGATAAGGACAAGCCCTCTGTGTGTACTCGCACCAGTCTAAGCAAGGCCGATTACGTAGTAGGTTTAGCGAATTTACTAGCAACCAATAACGGTACCAAATCTAAAAGTAAAACGCTATCGGTGCAGCAAAGTTTCCCAGAAGAAGCTTTCCAAAAGACTTTACAAATCAATCCTTACAAGTAAAACTCATAGCAAAAATATTTTTAGAAATTGAACCTGATTTTGACTTCCGGTTTTTTTGAGAACAGTAAAGCATGACCTCTTCAGTAAACTTTTATTTTTCATCTAGCATACTATTTCTTCCAAAAAGTATTGGAAGAGAAAATTAATGCTAAAAACTGACTCTGGTGTCGACTTTTGATATTGATTAAATCTTCAAGTTTTTCTAAAAGTAACTGGCAAGCAAGCTTATTTATGTTATGATTACAGTTCACAAATATAACATTAATTCATTCATTTAAACCTAATCCAGTTAAACAGATTGGCCCTTATTAATATTACCAGAATACCTTGCAGGCATAACAGGAGCCAATTGACGAAAAAGGCCTTGTCGCGGTCGCCGTATTGCTTGCTCTCATACAGTCAAATCTGTGCAGCGTCGAATTCAGTTGTGCGTAAGCTCTATCAACGCTCTGAAGTGCCACGTCCAACTGAAAAATAAATGCTCTTCCTAAGTTGTCTAGAAATCACAGTTACGATAAAATTTCCTCAGTTTGTGAGCTAAAAGTAAAACAACGAATTACTGAAAAAATAAAAGAGCAAACCTTTTTGAAACACTTTTCGCATATTGATCTTTCAGAGGCTGCAATGCAGTCACGTCCGTCCGCTCCTTCTTTAAGATGGCTTAAGCGTTTTGCAAGTTCTGACTTTGGTGTTAATGACGGCAAAGTTTGAACATTGAACAATTGAGCTATTTTGATGTTGTTCGGTTCCTCACTGTCTTTGTTAAAAACAAACATTTCTTTAAGCTTTCTTAGTCTTACGTGTGGAGTTTCTTTACATAAATCTTTAGGAGCCTTTGAAGTCCAAACAAGGCATACAGGTTGAACCAAATTCTTACTTCTTAGATGCCTAAGTAAAGGATTTTGATAAACGGAAGAAGATAATGTAGATAATAGAGTAACACTAGAATTTGGCATAAGGTCGTTTAAAACACTTGCACGAACAGTAAAACCCGTAACCATAAGGCACGTAACAACAGAAATAACGTGCCAATAAAAAACTAGGGGGAGTAGGGAACGTTTGGGAAAACGACGAAATACCCTTGGGGCAGTGAATGGTTCAGAAGCACAGTTGAGGTTACAATGGGATTCTACAGCTGAATGAACCAAGGATAACAGCTGACGGTCGTCGCACAACGACGAACAGTACGATTTCCGCTTATCAACGTATAATTTTGTATAAACTTTTGATGTACTGCTGTTCAGTAAGTGATCTGTGCAAATTGACGAAGGCGACGAATAGCCAAAGTTAACGCTATGATACGCGGTGCTACACGAAGCTACAGGATTGATTAGATCCACGTATTTCTTGGATGGCATTCTGGCGCGCTTTTGCGCGCCGGGACATGCTATCGCATTTATGTAGACAAATTCGCGGCTTGTGTCGCGAATGCGACCGCGACTGAAAAAGCCCGCTTGGATTGTGGACCAGCGCGATTGTTTTTCGCCTTCGCACCACGATTTTGATAGTACTCTGCGAACAGAGGTTGATATTACAAGTGTTTATGTTTACTGCCGTTGAACCAACCAGAATTCTCGAAAGAAACTTAGTTTTCCGCTAATAAGCGCCAAACTGATGACTGGTTTAATTAGTGCGGCGATTTCAACAGTGTATGGTACAAGAAGCAGCCAGTAAATAAATACTTTTTCTTCTCAGTAACAGTACCGTTATTCAACGTTTTGTATAACTGAAATAAACCAACGATTAAGTTTGAGAAAAATTGTACAAATGACAATTCAAAGACGTGAGCGCTGTTTTAAATCCACTGTGACTAGTGCTATAATCTCGGTAAAAATAATATCAGTCTGAGAAAAACAGCAGTCACTTCCAGGAAACTGTCTTCATCCAAAACTGAAATTATTTTGTTTTCATAAGGAAATAAAAAAAAGTTCATCAAGTGCCTAATAATACTCAAGAGCGCTCAGTATAAAAGATGAGCTATCAGCATTTATTTGGAACTTAAAAAACTAGTCTGTAACAACAGTTGATCTACTCAAATTACAAGCTTCCTCCAGTGTCTCCGCTATTTTTAACAAACAACAATGATCACCATCAAATTCAGAGACAGAACGTGAAAATCTAGAAAGATTCTCGTGTTTTGTAGCGTCTCCGGTTCTTTTGTGTGGTAAATATTCAAATCCAGACAAAGTGCAAAACTATATCTAATTCTTACTTATTATATCAAACTAGCGAGATTATGTGAAGCACATTTTAAAAGATACTGGTAATGCTGACAAACAGATCTGAAGCAGGAAGAGAAAGAGATAATTTACAGAAAAGGGCAAGTATGCGAACAAGACTCTTTTATTTCGCTATAATGATCGCATTTGTACTCAAAGTGTGTTCAAACAACGGAAACTTTAAAAAGTGAAAATTCCGTGATAAAAATAGCGTCACAAATAAGTTACAAATGAGCAGTGGGAGAAAAAAGACGGTGACGTTTTCACAACTGGCGTAAATGCATAAAAATGTTTTCAAGGCACAAAAAGGACAAAAACCCTGTTCCCCTACGTGATCTCAAGCAAATCAATCAGATTTAATCAGTAATCTAAGAAGCTACTTCTATGCATAAAGGCATAATTAAGAAAGCCATCTTCTCTGCTACATAGAAAAAACAATTTTAATTTTTCAGATGGTATATCTTGTATTTGATCGGTTATTTATTTCTGTTTATTTGCTTACTTATTTAATTACCTTGCCATTTATATACTTCTTTATTTACTAATTTACTTATTTTTCTAAATGTTTATTCGCACCTATACTAATGCATTTCCTTAAAAATAATGAAGATTACAGGCAGAGACTTATCTCTCTATTCCAGTTTATAAAATTAGTAAAAGCTAATTTTTTCAATTAACTTTGTTCGAAAAATCTATTCTTTTCGTTTTCGGTAGTTTACATTTTACAGCTGGCTTAAATTCCATATATTATTTCCTTACAAATAAACCCAAATAATTTCCTAGCATTTTTGCTACGCAAAGCAATCAAAGAATACAACAGGTGCTCTACCAAAAAATCCTGGATTTTCAGAATCGCTATAATATAACTATTTACTGCTAAATGTTGCTCTAAAATAATCATTTTAAGCCGTTGAAATATATCTTTTTTTTCCTTCTTACCAAGTAATCAATGATAACATAAATTTGTTGGTTTTCCACCAATTCTGTGCAACTACTGCTTACAAATATTTTGATCACTATGGTGATTTAAAAGCCACTAAAAAAAATAAAATAAAATAAATTGCACTAGTTGTGGACAGATATATCACATAATGTTTATTCAAATGCATAAACACAGTACACCAGTTTTTTTTTTTTTTTTTT